AAGCGGTGACGACGTATTCCCGTTTCGCGGAATTAAAGTGGCGGTATATTTTTTGCTCGTTTACCATCCCGTCATATCATACCAGGTGTGAAGTCAATTGGCAGTAACGGCTTTTAAGAAGAAGAATGGAATTTTAACACAGCAGGGGAGGCTAACCTTCGCTGCCCTTCGTAAGTGCTCGAAACGGGATCGCATTCTGCTTAAATTTGAAACTGTTCAAAATTTAATTTAGTTGCTGTTTTGTTTACATACGACTAATTTAATATGTCTAACAGCGATTGGCTGCCATGTTGCTCGGACCAGTAATTTTATTTCTTTCACGTTGACAATTAAATTTCGATAAAATTATAAAGAGTAAGATTAGTTAAAACACAATATTCTGTTCCACCCTCTGGCGATCGTATTATCTCGAGCGTAGAAGTAATGGTTTGTCATTGTTTATTGTAAACGAATAATTAATATTGGTGACGTTAAGATTTAGGAATTTTTAGTTGACAGTACCAATGGTGCAATATTGATTGCATAAGCTTGGTCAGTCAAAACATTTTAAACATGTTAAACAGTAGAGGCACAAAGTGTGCGGCATACCTGAGAATGAAACGTAATAATTGTATGTAGCAACATGCAACGTATGGGACGTATTTCAATCTGTCATTTTTTAAATATTTCAAACGGCTTGTATACTGTAGATATTACATATTTGACATACTCAGTTGTTATAGATGTCATAAAATGTAGGTATAATTCTTTCTCTTTTTGCCCTTCTCTTTAAATCGAGAATATAAAGACATTCTATGCATATTTAATGTAATATTTCCTGTTTTCCGTAAAATAGCACATAAAATAAACTGCAAAACATTGAATGGTTGTAAAAGAAAGACAGGTGTTACACATGTTATTCTCAAATAGCTATATATATATAGCAGACAATGCATTTGAAAGGAGGAACATATATTGTTAGACAGACTTACATTTAACTTCGTTCCTAACAATCCTAACGTACCTACTGAATTTATTATTTATACAAATTTTTATTTTTTTTCGTATTTACAAGTATATTAAATTTTTAGGGCGGTGAGTTTTTGTTATTAATTTTTCGTCATTATATAACCGTAATCACTTAATAATGTTGATATTTGATTAACGGAAACTTAAGAAATTATGACAAATACGCCATACCTTTTTTAGGATATCATTATCAGATCATCTTGTATCCCTCCTTGACAGCAAAAATGGAGTTAATTTACGTGACCTGAAAAGTCAGAGGAGGCGCAAACGATAACTTTGCTCCCGGGACTTATAAAAATAAATAATAATATAAAATGGCATGTCTTTCGCAGTTAGGCCGCTGTAAAGACATGGCATTCTTCAACTTGTTCCAAATTTGTTCGAGATAGCCTAAAAATGCTAATTCAATTGAAAATCCCCATGGCTATATTGATAGCATAATGGAGCTGACGCTAATATAGGAATTTTCATCGCCATTCCCATCATGCTAGAAATGAAATACAAGAAATCAGGAATATAATAATAAATATGGTTGATACATTTTCTTGCGTACACAGTTTGGCTAACTAAAAACTTTAAAACTAGGACAACCTTCTAATATTTTATACGTGGTGATCTTCTAAATGTTCTTACTGGATTAATTTTTATGATCCATTTGTCAGTCTATAGCTTGCTGCGATTTTGTTAGAAGTGATTCATAGGAAAATCGCTTTTTTATTGAAAATCTTACTGAGCATCAATCCACCACTTAGGACTCCTATATCAGATTTCATTGATTCAGAATTTACAAATATTTTTAGATTTATGAAATTTCCGTTTCAGTTTAAAAATTTAGGAGACTCTGAAGATGGAAAATTACCCACTTACTGACCCTGTCTATTATAATCGGTAAATAGTAGTGTGCATTATATATTTTTTACATAGACAGAACCTAATATTTTCATAATTTGTGGACCCGATAGCTTTAATTATTTACTGACTGTTATCACGTTTCCGCTTTTGATGCGTTATGAGAAATAATAGGGAATAAATTTTCTCGCATAATGACCTGTACAGGGTAATTCAAAACTGATGGTTAACCGCCATTACAGGAAAATTAAAAGAGCAAATAGAAAACTGTAAGGGGAAATCTTTATGGTATGACGATAAAAGTATTTGACCAAAAATACCACCTTGTATAGAGAAAAACACTAGTTCGATCAAGTATGTTACTGATTTTATCAGTGCTGTCATGGAGAACAAAATACTTTCAATGTTTATATTCATTATTGACATAAATCGTGTGTTTCTGTAAAGCAGTATTGTTAATTTCGAATCTTTCCGAATTTCCTCAAAAATCATAATTGTTATCTACTTTTTCACTGTGAAATATATTTTTTTATATAACTGCAGTAAACCTACCCAAAAATAATTAAAACATGTCAGTAATGAATATAAACATTGTATGTATCTCGTTTTCAAGTTAAAATGAACAAAATCAGTACAAATATGATCTGATAGTGTTTTATTTCTCTGTGCAGGGTTAACTTAACTTTTTTATTTTTTGAGTTAGACAAAAATAGTTAAGATAAAAGTTGTAGGCAATCTTTCTATGAGTTTAGTGAGTTTATGAAAATAGAAATAATACTGGGCGTTTCAAAGAAACTTTGAGATATTGACTGGATAGGTGCCCATGGTACAATTTTGTGGCCTTCCCGAAGTCCAGACTTGACCCCTATGGATTATTTTCTCTATGATACTCTAAAGTTTTAAAGAACAGAGTATATCAAGAGAGAACAAATAATGTAAATCACCTGAAAGAAATATATCTCAGGAAATTCGCATTTTAATCAGTTTAATTAAAAGATAAAAAAAAGAAAAAAGAAATAATCTTGGTCTTGCACATGATGGAGCAATTATTGAAAATTTATAATTTATGTATTTGTTAACAAACTCTTAAATTTCTCATATGAGTACTTATTTAAAATAGAGCATAAATATCTAATATTATAATTTTATTTTCCATAGCAATTTTTATATTGGCCATTGCGAGATTCATTCTTGCAAAGCAGAATATTGAGCAAATTGTTAAGTAAAACATATATACATTGTTGGAATCAGGTAGAAGCAGAGATTTCGGAAATCGAATAATATACAGTGTGTTCCATTTAAAAAAATCTTAGTTTGGTTTGTTTTTTTTGGATTGTTTTTTTTCCCGTTGTTATTTGGAGGAATTTTATTTTATTTTTTTTTAATATTACAATTTTTGTCATTACTTATTGAATCGGACAAAAGGTAAATTAGGCACGTTTACGACTAGTAGGATATGCTTTCATCTGTCATTTTTGATATTTACAAAGACTGCACATTGCCATGTACTATTCCATCGTCTTGGAAAATGCCTGCAAAATTTTCATCTCGTGAAAAGGTTAACATATTATTAGTATTGGGGTTTTGTGAGGGTAATTGTCGACGAAGTATACAGGAGTACCGAAGAAGAATTTCCCGATCGTTTGGTTCCACATCGGGAGACCTTTGCTAATGTTGAGAGAAGGGCTTGAGAGACTGGATCATCTCTAGTCAGCAACAAGGAGGACGTGTTAATCATGCAGTAAACGCACGAAACCACATGCCACGATCCAACGAATTACGAGTATAAGACGTAATTTGCTTCAACCTTATCATGTCCAAAATTTTCAACAATTGTTACCCCAAAAAGTCCAAAGACTAGCTTTCTGTAATTTCATCAGGATATTAGGTTTCATAAAAAGATTCTTTTTACGGACGAGGACTGTTTCACTCGAAAAGGAATCACAAATTTGCATACTTTCCATATATATTCGGTTAAAAATCTACATGCAATAATTCCTTGCCATTTTCAAAATGAATTTAAACGTGTGGGCTAGTATTGTTGGACGTTGGTCGTTGCCAGTTATTCTACTAAACCACCTGAATGGCGAAAATGATTGATTTTTTTTACAAAACCTGGGCTACTTGCAATTAAGACGTCAAATGTGGTTCATGCACGATGGTGCTCCGCCGCATTTTAGTGCTAATGTACGAGACTTCTTGAACCAGCAGTTCCCGAATAGATGAATAAGATGAGGAAACAATTATCCGGAAAATTGGCCACCAAGATAACCAGATCTGAATAAATGTGATTTCTTTTTCTGGGGGGACTGAAGAATTTGTTTATTTTACATCGATTGTATCTAAAGCAGATTTATGGAATTTTATAAATAATAAATGCAACGCCATAAAAAATGATCCACAGTATTATTAATTTATTATGGAGAAATGGTGGCGATTTTCAACAGTTGTTGCAGTGTTATTCCTCTTTTTTTAATCATTTTAAAGAAATAAAGAATCTAATTTAATTAAATTGCTTTTTCTTGACACTTTCTTGTAAACGTCAAAAATTACACATAAAATTATAGTTTACTAGTCGTAAAATTGCATACTTTACTTTTTGTCCGATTCAATTAGTAAAGACGCTGTTTCACAAAATCCCGATTTTACCAAAAATTTGTAAGATTAAAAAAATTTTTAAAATTAAATTTCCTGTAATAGGTAGGTACTGACAAAACTATTTAATAATTGGCATACTTATAAAAAAATCGATATCATTTTGTTTTTGTTTTTCAAAATTTAACACTTCAGAGTGGCTGGTTGCCACGTCGTCGTTTTATAACAGTTGACCGTTACTCTGAAACTGGAGATCTACTAGTCCTGTCATTATTTATATTTGATGTGGTCACTGGTCCATGATGTTCCAGTGGGTGATCTCGTACGCGTTGTTGACGTTCCAGTAGGTTGCTTTCACGGATGACTCTCTTCCATATACCTTCCAGATCCACGCCACTATCCCTGTTGAAGTTGTTCGGATTTCTGTAAATTTCTAAAGCTTCTCTGTATAGTCGGAGCCAAAATCTTCTCTCTCTCACCACCATGTTGGCTTCACTCAGATCCAATGTGTGTCCTGTGTCCGCCCTATGCTCTGCTACTGCCGATTTTTACCAGTTGTTATTTTTGAGGTGACTTTTGTGTTCCTTTAACCTCGTGTTGATGTGCCTTCCTGTTTGTCCTATGTAGACCTTTCCGCAAGAGCAAGGAATATTGTACACACCGGGGCCCTGGAGCTGGTCGTTGTTGCAGGTCTTTGGAAACGCTGCCACCACCTTCCTTACAGTATTGAATACTGTGTTGATATTCCTCTTCTTCAAAAGACGCCCGATTTTATCTGTACAACCTTTCACGTAAGGTAGATACGTCGTCGCTAAGTACTCCTGTTTCTCAATGGGTGTATGTCTCCTCCCGATAGCTCGTTCTATATTTCTCGTCTTGTAGCTATTCCCTCTCAAGGCCGTGCGTAGGTGTTCTAGTTCTTCGGCCAAGTGTCTTGGCTCGCTGATGATCCGCGCCCGATGAATCAATGTATTTATGATCCCCTGTTTTTGGGCTGGGTAGTGGTGGGACTGTGCATTCAGATACCTGTCTGAGAGAGTTGGCTTCCTATATACTCGATGTCCTAAAGTGCCATCTGGTTTCCTCTCCACCAAAATATCCAAGAAGGGAAGAGCGGCGTTTTTCTCTACTTCCATAGTAAACTGGATATCTGGATGTATCTCATTGATGTGATCCAGGAAATCCGCTATGGTGTTGCATCCGTGGGGCCAGATGATGAAGGTGTCGTCAACATATCGGTATCAGCATTTAGGCTTCAACGTTGTGGATTCCAGGGCTTTCTTCTCAAAAGCTTCCATGTATATATTGGCCAGGACTGGAGATAACGGTGAACCCATTGCTGCTGCCTCCGTCTGTTCGTAGAATTGGTCCCGGAATGCAAAGAAGGTCGATTTTATGCACACTTTTGCCAATTCCATTAGACCCTCATCTTTTTCCTCTGCGATTAGTCTTCGATGCAGTTCTTCCAAAGCTTCGTCGACAGGTACTTTCGTAAATAGAGATGTGACATCGAAGCTTACCAGGATTTCTTCTGGTTGGAGTTCAATTCCTCGAATCCTGTCGATAAAGTCTCCGGCGTTTTTGACGTGATGCTCTGTCCTCCCTACTACTCCCTACTACTCCCTACTAAGTCCCTTATCTCATGTGCGACGTATCGGGCCAGGGGGTGTGTTTTCAACGGTACATCTCAGAAAAAATGTTACATAACAAATCGGCATATTTTGAGATCCTCTACACGTGCCTGCTCTGTGTCGGTTGAGTTATGACATACAGTGTCGAAATACATATTTAATAAAAGTTGTTGAGAAAAGAGAGGGCTTTGACATGATGTTAAAAAATATTTGTGAAAGTGAAAAAAATAATTTTAGTAATGAAGTTACAGCCGGTAAACTTACCAAGATAAAATTTTAAGTTAAATACTTATAATGTCATGCCAGAAAGATCCCCGCCTATGGTTTCCTCTTTACTCTTTCCATTTTCCCATAATGGAAGTTCTGGGTTACCCTTTACATTAACTCGAAAAGCTTATCACAAGTCTTACATGATCAAAAAGATGCTGTGCATAGTGTTATCAAGTTAGATTGTTACTTTGTTATTTTTGAAAAAGGAATTTAACAGTACATACTTCATCCTCTCAAGGTTTTAGTGCATTTGAGCAAAATGATGATTGTCTTAAAGCATTATGTGAAGTTCTTAATTATGTAGGTGCCTACATCTTACTTAACATTTCTTGTTCTTTCTAGTTTAGGAAATGTAAATCAATTTAGTTATTGATTTAAATGGCACTGAGAGGAATAGTTTTCCTCTTTGGGTAGAGTATAATGTAAACATGCAAAATTCATTTCGACTTTTAGAAGCGGAGAGAATGCTGAATGTTCTTAAAGTCGTTACTGCGGGAATCCAATTCCAGACAACTGTTTGCTTAACGACACATCAATGCCTGTGATTTGAAACACAGGTGGATAAGTGTTATTACGAACGAGGTGATATCTTGTTGACAGTTGTTCTAAATGAAGATGTACGAGGTCTGTTCAGTAAATAACCGAACTTTATTTCTTTAAACTTTATTATTAATTTTATACATTATTGGTTCTTGTATCCTTCAAAGTACTCTCCTCCCCTATTCAAATATTTTTTCAGCGACGGTTCCATTACGCGAAGCTGCCCTGGATAACTTTATTGAAATTACCTCTAAACTCTGTGACAAATTTGCTTTGATGTCATCAATAGTCTGAAAACGACACCCTTTCAGCAGATTTTAATTTCAGAAGTAAGAAAAAATCAGAACTAGGTCTGGAGGGTGAGGGAGCATCACTTTGACATTGGGTCGAGACTGACGTGCTTTCTTGGGGTGTGGAAATTCTTTGCCAATCCATTATGCTTGAACTTTTATCTCAATGTAGTAGCCGCAAACCCAGCTACCATATCCCTTTATGATACTTTCAATGAATATTTCATCATCATTGGATTGTTCAAAGAGTTGCCGACAAACGTCCAAACGAGGAACAAATTTTGACTCGATGTATGTTGTTTGGGAGTTATCAGTTGAAGTTCGAAGGTTTTGCTGGTCGGGGATCATCTTCAATTTACTGACAACCACTTTTAAATCGTTAAAATCATTCGTAACATTGCGTACGACGCAGAGCATCATCTCCGTAGACTTGTTTCAAATGTTGAAACGTTTTTGTGAAAGTTTTCCCTAGTTTCACCAATATTTTACATTGCATCGTTGTTTCAGGAAATCACACATGTCAAAAATCGTCACTAAAACTTAAACATGTTGCACTAAAATAACAATATCGCGAAAAGTAATTCATATATCGTCAATCCAAGGACATGTTGTTACAAAGGAGGTTATGCGAAATGCAATGTTGGTACCACATATCACTAAATATCTCCATTAGCGCGTAATAAAGATAATCTGCGACTGCAGCCGTATAGAACAAAATTGTGTTCTAATAGTATACACAGTGTTTCAGGTTTCAATCGAAGAAGTTTAACAGGCGATAGAACTCGTAAAAATAAAAATAATAATTCATATGAACAACTTGTATGTTTTAAAGCTTCGTTAAATACAGGGTGTTAAAGTTAAAAAAATAATCTTATTTTTCAAGTCTCAAAAACTACTACCCGATTTTGATAAAACTTGACACGCTTTTGGCAATAAGTAAGGTACTTAATTTGATGTAATTAAACTTAATTTAACTATTCCAGGGGTGGTGCACGGTCATCACAACTAGATATTAATTACGCTGATGTTCTTTATGTCCCATTTTTAACATTACAATACAAAAACAAAATCCAGAAGGTGCAAAATTCTTGTTTGGGTCTGATATTTGGTATTCGTAAGGGGGGACATATTACCCATAAACTAAAAGATAATAACTGGTTAGATATGTCTAAAAGGAGGATTTTGCATGCGGCAATTTTATTTCATAAAATTATTGTTAGCAGAACTCCGTCATATCTTCATAGAAAGATTACCTATCGCTCGGATATCCATAACATAAATGTGAGGCATAAAGGCATCCTCTCTCCTCCATCTTTTAAGCTAGAAATTTTTAGACGAGCTTATACCTATCGAATATGCTTAATTTATAATGATATTTCTTCACATTTCAAAAGTTATTATTTTCAAAAATTTAAGACATCCTATAGGCAACTATTATTTGATGATCATTAGTGTTATTTTATGTTATGTTATATTATATGCAGTGATAAGGTTAAAATTTCATAAATATATGTATAAACTATGTCATAGCAATGATTTTCTTTAGGTTAAGTGGAAGAACAATTTATCTCAAATATATAAATTGAATATCGCCTTTTGCTTTATACTTTTATTAACATTATTATTATATCAATACATAGGTATACCTACTTGTATGAAAAGCAATAAAATCGATTATTATTATTATTTTTATTATTATTATTATTATTATTATTATTATTATTATTATTATTATTTTATATGTAAATTGTGGAACCTCTGACAAGTGTATGTCACTCAT